TAAATATCGAGAGCAACCGTGTCAACTTGTGACCAACATGAGTGAAAGTCTGCACGTTTACTTATCGCAATTATCTGTCAGTTATGGTTATCTAATGCAATTAGAACATTCCGCAATGCAAATGTAGAATTTATAAAATGTAACATATTGTGACATAGTGCAATTTGCGCAACATTCATAGGGAATTATATTTACTGCTCCAATTTTATTATTTACTCTTATTCGTTTTAAATTTTAAAATATAAAAAAAATTACGTCTAATATGATTATTGTTTAATTATTGCTTGTTATATACGCATAATTCATTTCATAGAAAATTATACTATCCAGTGTGAAATTGGACAATTTCCAAGCTCGAATATTTTCCGAAAGTTTTCTATACTTTTCACATGCACGTCGTAAATTTAATCATTTTTTTTATGACCACATAATTTTCAATCGCTCTCTCTCTCTCTCTCTCTCTCTATAAATGTATTCGTAATATCTAGAAAATCTACGATACTTTTTTACGAAACAATATCATAAATCGAAACCAAAAAGTCAAAATCTCAACAAATATCATCCCCTTTTTGGTCGATTTTTTGCTATTTAAAACGAAAATATTTGAAGTTATTCAAATTTATCATGATCGTATTGTCATGACCAAAGTGGTCACGATAATTAGTTTAATTTATCAGAAGTTCAAAATTCATATTATAGTGTATAAATGCATTTTCAATTTGCCATGTATCATTGCATTATTATTTTTCACTTAACAGTTAAAGACTTGTAGACTTTCGATAATTATTATAACTACATCATGGCCATAATAATTAATTTACGTATCGAAGATTTAAAATCCATATTATTATAAATGCATTTTTTATTTGTTATTACATGACCTTCACTTATCATTAATATTAAACTTGCAACGAGGACTCTATTATATTATTCCTGTTATATATATATATAATATATAATAAAATATAATATATATTATATTTTATATATTATATTATATTATATATTATATATTATATTATATTATATATTATATTATATATTATATATTATATTATATATTATATTATATTATATTTATATTTATATTATATATATTATATATTTTATTATTTGTATCTCTTTGCGCAATATATTATTCGTTCAGTGAGAACAATGTGTTCTGTTCAACGATTATCAATTTTTGCAGGAAGACTTTTTGACCAACCCCGATGGACAAATCACTTTACAAATTCACATCCACGTGGATTGCAAAGAATGTTCGTGGACGAAGAGAGACGAGAAACGAGTATTCCCAAGAACGAGTACGATTTTATCATCGTTGGAGCTGGATCAGCCGGATGTGTTCTTGCGAACAGATTAAGCGAAATAAAACAATGGAAGGTAGTTGTACTATAATGATTATATTATTTGTACTATTATATATTAGTTGTACTGATCATTGCATTTATGAGGGATTCAATTAGACAAATTGTACGAAATTGCACATATTATACGATACTGTATATTAAATATATTACGTATTTATGTTATTACGTTCCATTATATTTATATTAAATATAATTTATATTTATTATTATATTACGTATTATTATTATATCACGATCGTACAATTAATATTAACAATTTCACGATTAAATATGGTAAATAATATAGGAGTTAAACATGATACTTGTATCAACGAATCAAATTAAATTGGATAGTTTATCAATCACCAATCAAACGTTAAATCAAACGAATCAAACTGAAAATTATTTTCAGATAAATGATTGCTCACTTACGTAAGAATATAGAACAGTGTAAAACGCTCTCGTAAAAATTTGAAGTATATTTCTGCACGTGTGTCTTCGAACAGATACATATAAAAGTCTCAGCTATCTATCCTTTTACTTTGACTTTTGCTTGGAAGAAACTCGTTTTTCGTTTTTCAATTTGAAACTATGCCACGTGTGATGCAACCAGTTCCGAGAAACGATTTCACGTTTGCAAATTAATTAGAAAAGAAAAAAATACGACACTTTTCATTCGACTCTTGACTTGTTAGAAGATCCAGTTTGAAAACTCGTCGAGTAATTATACAGAAAAAAAAAAAAAAAGAAGAAATGCATAAAGTTTCGATCTGCTCGTATTTTAAACTAGATCGGTTGCACCACCGATTTAATGTATTCATCGACCATCGGTGACCCATGAAACCATCTTTTATTTTTACTTTCGTCATGACATGAATATTTCTCGTTTGTTTTTTTTTTTTTTTTTATTATTATTAATGAAAACGAATATTTCTTGTGGATACGTTCACTTTCCAATATCGAACATCAAGTTCCGTAATAAAGATGTGAGAGATCACGCGACTTCTCGAAACTGCAAGAATTTTTACGCTTTTACGTTTTAAATCATCGTCACGAATACGACAGTTAATTCTTCATCGGAATATAATCTCTTCCAGAAACATAATATTTGCCTGACAATAAAAGCAGTTTCTATTCCATATAAACGAATTATTTATCGAAATACGAAGTGAAAGAAATGTTAATCGTATAAATACTTAAATATAATTCCAATGACAACTTACTGCCAATATTCGGATATTATTATTACTAAAATTTTAATATTATTATTACTTATTATTTTAGATTAATATAATATATTATATATAATATAATATTATTATTTTAGATTAACATATCGTAATATAATATATTATATATAATATAATATATCTTATTATTTTAGATTAATATATAATAGTAATATAATAATAATATAATTAATAATAAAATTCTTATTATTTTGGATTAATATAATATATTATATATAATATAATATTATTATTTTAGATTAACATATCGTAATATAATATATTATATATAATATAATATTATTATTTTAATATTATTATATATAATATAATATATCTTATTATTTTAGATTAATATAATATATTATATATAATATATTATTATTTTAGATTAATATATCGTAATATAATAATAATATAATTAATAATAAAATTCTTATTATTTTAGATTAATATAATATATTATATATGATATAATATTATTATTTTAGATTAATATAATATATTATATATAATATATTATTATTATTTTAGATTAACATATCGTAATATAATATATTATATATAATATA